AAGCTGTTCAGTCGGTGTCAGATGGCGAACGAGAACTGTGTATGCAGTCAGCGACGCTGATCGAAAAGTGGCCTGTTGAAGTGGTGACCCGTGTGATGGAAAGGGTGCTGTGCCGTCGAACAACTGCCAGAATCCCGCGGTCCGAACAAGAAGCTCGAATTCAAACTCCAGGTATAGAAGTCTTGACCGTTAAAAGGCGTTGTCGTTTTAATTTTTGTTGGGTTTGCAGAAGCGGGAAGATAGTTTCCGGTGCTGTCAGCTGATTGTAACTGATAAAGGGATGGCATCTGTGACCCTTGTGGTGCTTGTTGTCCTTGTCCAGCAGGAACGAAAGAAAAGGAGTTATTCGACCCGTCGCTTCCATGTGGCATCTGCCCATACTGATAACTGGAGCCATCAAGGCTCATAGGAGTTGGAAACATTTGGTTAAGTGACAAGACGGCAGCATTGACACGTTGTTGAAGATTTGTTGGCTGGTAAGCACCTTGATATTGATAAGGTCCAGTCGGTACGAAACTAGACTGTTGTCCTGGTTGATTAGTAGAATCAGTTACTGCAGCTGCAGCTGTTGTGGCTTCTGATGCCGCTGTTGCTGCGGCTGCTGCCGATGATGCCGCTGCTGCGGTTGTGTGTACGGGCTGATTGCTCAGTGGCATGCCGTACATCGGTTGTTGCTGATATTGTTGTTGCTGATGTTGTTGCTGCAGATAAGAATTGTCAGCAGCTGGAGACGCTGTTGGGCGTGATGGGCTCGTAACAGAAGAGCCGTTGTTGGATCATGGAGAGCCAGACATAGTTGCAGAGTATGTAGTTTGAAGCTTATAGAATCCTAAGACGCTCGCAATACCATGTTAGAATTTGAAATGATTGAATAGGATCGTATTACTTAGGATGGTAGCTTCCTGTCGTAGCGGAAGTCTTGTATGAATTAAAGCCAGTTAAGGAGGCTTTGTCTGGACTAGTGAAAGCCCATGTAGTGATATGTTTCAGGATCAATGTCTCTGAAATCAAATATATTATAAAATGACAAGCATACAGAATATATAGCTAGAGTAAAGTACCTTTTCGCCTACTGTACTGTGCTATTCTCGCTATTCCTGTTCTGAAACGGTACGTGACTATTCGCGAGGCCTATAGCTACGTGCTGACGTCATCCTAGGGCGCGTAGCGCTTTGCTGACGTCAGCCTATCGGTACTTTACTGTACTACACGAATTTCCTTGAAGTGCTTAAGTCTCGATATTGTCTCGATATTTTGCCACTTCCTCGTCGTACCGTACCATGCACGCACCGGGCTTCCCAGTCATATCGTGCCTTCCCCTCCACCTCTCTCATGTCTTGTGATTTTGTTGCCCTTAAAGATCAGGATGAACTCATGTAGGTGCCCTGAATGTTCAGGATAGCCATAAAATTTTGCCATGGAAAATCAGGGCATTCTTGAGAATTTTTAAATTTGCTCTGAGGGCTCAGGATGCCCGAAATCCTAGCACAGGCCCTGGCGGCCACAAGGCCAGTTCAAGAGTTTACTAGGATATATATAGCAAAGCACAACAAGTACAGCAAACAGTAAGTCTACAACAATCGAGGGCCTACTTCAACAAGCACCAACCGCACACAGAACCTGTGGTGATCACTAAGCGCCAAGGCCTTGGTGAAGACGTCGGCAGTGTTGGCCTCTGAGCAGGGTTTTTTTTGTGTTTTTGTTTGTTTGTTTTTTTTATTTTCACTACTCGGATTTTCAGAGTTGTTTTTTTGGAACTCCGAAAATCGGGGTTGATCATGAGCGTTACCCTGATTTGTCAGAGAAAACTTAACTTCTGAAAGAAAATACTATGGACAGTCAGTGTACATATATTTCCAACTCCAAGCTTCCTTTCAAGTATTGAACCCACGCCTTCCGCGCTCCAACAAAAATATTTATTGTTATGCTATCCGCTCACCGCAGAGGGGGCCGCATTATATATATAGATATTTTTGTCTGCTTGCCATTTTCCACCAATTCAGCGGGGGGCTCGGTCGAAATGCCTATACCCTGTATAGAGAAAAATGCATTCGCCAGAAATTTACACAGGTATGTCAGAGTAGCTAAAATCAAAGCCCTGGCAAATCAGAGAAAACTTATCTTCCAAAAAAAAACCCAGAAACATCAGAGTGACCCCCCCAAAATCACTCTGATTTTCAGAGAAACAGAGTAATTTACTCTCATAAAATAAGCCCTGCCTCTGAGGCCACAAAGTCCAAGCGTGCCTGGTCGCTTCGCTGCAACTCTCGCAGCACGGAGTACCTCACGTCAATATGCTTAACTCTGCTCTCCAGTCGAGGCTCTAGAGACAGGAGGATCATGGCATTGTTGTCAGCGTACAAGGTCGGTGCAGAGCGAGGCCGCTCACCAAGGTCGGCGAGCAAGAAGGTCAACCAGCGAAGCTCCAGTGCAGGGTCATCCCTAGGTTTTGAGCCTGCCTGATGCATCAGATGGGGTGGTTGTCAGGATGTTATAGTGCTTACATTTGTGTAGGCTATAATGGGGTAGCCCATAAGGGGTACAACTCAATTAGGGTTAGTACTTGTACCAAACTCTTTCATAGTTAATCCATTCTCGTTCATTACTTTCAACATGGCTTCAGAGCAAGTCCCTCGCTAGGACCGCTTTTCTTTCCTTGGGCCACCACCTGCTGCCCTGCGAGTAGCCCCTTGGCCCCGGCCCGTAGCCTCGGCCCCTTCGCCCCTAGGCCCCGGCCCCTTGGCCCGTCGCGCCCCTAGGCCCGTCACGCCCCACGGCCCCGTTTTCTGGCTCGTCGCGCTTCTAGGCCCGTCGCGCCCCTCGGCCCCTTCGCCCCTAGGCCCCGGCCCCTTGGCCCGTCGCGCCCCTAGGCCAGTCGCGCCCCTAGGCCCGTCGCGCCCCACGGCCCCGTTTCCTAGGCCCGTCGCGCCCCTCGACCCCTTTGCCCCTAGGCCCCGGCCCCTTGGCCCGTTGCGCCCCTAGGCCAGTCGCGCCCCTAGGCCCGTCGCGCCCCTAGGCCTGTCGCGCCCCACGGCCCCGTTCCTACCCATCGCGCTTCTAGGCCCGTCGCGCCCCCCCTCAGGCCCTGGTTCCTGCCCGTCGCGCCCCTTGGCCCATTGCACCCCAGGGCCCCGTTCCCTGCCCGTCGCGCCCCTAGGCCTCGGTCCTGGCCCTTCGCTCTCCTAGGCCCGTCGCACCCCCCAGGCCCTGGTTCCTGCCCGTCGCGCCCCTCGGCCTCGGTTCCTGCCCATCGCGCCCCTAGGCCCGTCACGTCCCAAGGCCCCGGTTCCGGCCCGTCGCGCTCCTAGGCCCATCACGCCCCTAGGCCCCGGTCCTGGCCCGTCGCTCTCCTATGCCCGTCGCGCCCCTAGGCCCGGGTCCCGGCTCGTCGCTCCCCTAGGCCCGTCACGCCCCCAGGCCCGCGCGACACGCGCCCCGTGACCCGCGACCCAGGCCCCTCAGCCCCTAGGCCCCTCGGCCCCTAGGCCCCTCGGCCCCTAGCCTTGGCCCCTCAGACTCCACCCTACGTGTTTCGGCCCCTCGCCCCCCCCCCCCACCCCCCAAGCTCTTCCACGGCCCCCAGGCCCACATCGTGCCCCTAAGCCTCGGCCCCTCGGCCCCCCCACTCTTCGGTGTTTGGGCCTCTCGGCCCCTAGGCCCCTCCTGGTCCCCCTAACTGCCTACTAGCGGATTATCTAGCTGTCGTACTGCGGCTAACTGCTACTGCTGCTAGCTGCTGCTCCTGCAATTACTGTGCCACTATGGCCCTTGCTTCGAGTTCTCGCATCTCGATCATGAGGGTAGACTGGTTCAGTCTTACACGTTGTCTCGACCGGACCTTCAAGGCCTTGTACCTACTGAACGATATTAAGGACGGTGTTTCCCTGTTTGACCACACGTTCGTCCTTACGGGTAGTACCTGCCTACCCATTGCCACCACTACCCGCCACAGCTGACAGTGCGACTCGCTCACAGTGGCTTTCTCGCGACGCTGCTGCCCACTAGCCATTCGCAACCACCTGCCGATAGCCGGAATGCGCTCACTTCGGACAGCACAGGACCGCACAGGCACTGTACGATGCTGTAGTCGCTCGCTACTCCTCGCCTGCCACTGCTGCTCTAGGCCGCCTGCTTCTGCCCTACCTGTTCCCCGAGCTGTCTGCCTTTGCCACAGTCGAGGACCTGGTTTCCCACCTTCGCGCTAGCGACGCTCGCTACCGCGCTGCCGCCCCTACTGAGTTCCTTGACAGGAACCAGCCCCCGAAGTTCATCACCCTCTACTTCATAGTCACTCACCTCCCTGACTCTCTTCGCTCTATCAGGGACCACTTTCTCTCTCTTGACCCCCACCTCCCTCACTGTTGACCTCCTCGAGCAGCATCTCCTCGCAGCTGAGACTAGTGCAGTTGCTGTAGGTGCTGCTCGTGGCACTCCGCGCCCGCCCTTCTTTGAGGGGTGCTCCCCCTCCCCCCCTTGCCCCCTCCTACGCCTCTGCTGCTCCTGCAGACGTCTCTGTTGCTGAGGACGTCGGGGCAGCTTCTGCTAGTGCGAAGCGCCGCAGCAGCAAGGGCAAGGGTGGCAAGGGTGGTGGACGTGGCAGCTGCGGTGGTGGAGGTGGCAGCGGGAGTAGTGGTGGGGGCAGCAGTGGAGGTGGTGGCGGCGGTGGGACTGGTGGAGGAAGTGGGGGCTCTGGTGGCGGCGGTGGAGGCATCGGTGGGAGTGGCGGCAGTGGCGGAAGTGGGACTGGTGGCGGTGGGACTGGAGCTCGGCGTGTTTGGTTCTGGAGGTGGCCAGCGTCAGCAGCAGCAGCGTCAGAGCGAGACCCAGTCGCCCCAACAGCTCCGTGAGGTGGTTGTTTCAAGCGTGGGACGTCTGGGGGTAGTGATAGCTGCCCGTATGTCTATTCGCACGGGTAACCATGCTGGTCAGACATGCGGGAAGCTTCACACTCAGCACCGCAGCTATCTCCCGCCTCGACGACGCCTGGCGTGCTGAGTTTGGGTGACGAGGCCGAGCGCCCTCGCTGGCAGATTTGCTTAGGTCTGGTGTTGCTATCTTTGACCTAGACTTTGATGTTATCCTTTCTGCTATGTATGCTTTGTCTACTAGTGCTGAGGGTGACTGTTATCGGTGTGTCCCACCTGACCCAGGTATAGCGGCTGCTGCTCTAGGGTGCTAGTGAGTCTGGTACTCTTCCTGGTGCTGGCGCCTGCTAAGGCCTTGCACACCTTCACGCTGGACTCAGGCGCCTCGCGCTGTTTCTTTCGTGACAGCACCACCCTCACTCCTCTCCCTGCACCTGTCCCGGTCAGACTGGCTGACCCCTCTGGGGGCCCGGTCGTTGCCCGTTCCTCCACTGTCCTCAGCGTGTCTGGCGGTTCCGTCCAGCTCACTGTCAGGTCTTCACCTCCCTCGTTCTCTAACCAACTTGGTGAGTACAGCTGCCACTCCAGGGATGCGATGGTCACTACCACCACTCCTGGGGTCAGCGTGTGTCGATCTGCACGTGCACACGGACGGGGCGTCACCTGGCCACGTTCACAGTCGTCGGCCAGGGTCGAGTCTGTACACACTGGCTACTGAGCCTCCTCAGGTAAGTGCGTCTACTCAGGTGTCCGTGTCAGGTCAGGTAGCCGCCTCTTGCTCGTGTCGCCTCCTGTCACACCAGACTCTTCTGTGGCACCACCGCCTGGGTTACCCCTCCCTGCCACGCCTTCGTGGCATGCACTCATCGTCTCTGGTCTTCCCAGGTCTCTGCCTTCCCTGCCGCCCTCGCTTGCCCCGCCCTGCCTTCCTTGCGTCGAGGGGCGGCAGCGCACCGCTCCTCACTCCTCGTTTCCCCCAACGATTGCTCCCCTGCAGACTCTCCACATGGACGTGTGGGGCCCAGCCCGCGTCAGTGGACAGAGCCGCAAGCGCTACTTTCTTCTGGTGGTTGGTGACTACACGCGGTAGACCACGGTTTTCCCTTGCGCAGCAAGGGGTCAGGTCGTTGATGTCTTGATCCCTTGGATCCGCACCGTCCGTCTCCAGCTCCGCGAGCGTTTTGGCCAGGACCTTCCTGTCCTGCGTCTGCACTCTGACAGAGGTGGTGAGTTCTCCTCCAACCTCTTGCGGAACTTTTTGTCGTGGGGAGGGCATTCTCCTCGCCCACACTGCGTTGGACGGGGGAGGTTGGCGATGCGTCGGTGTTCCGGGTCAGGGGATCTTGTTCCTTTGTTCACGATACGTCCGCGGGACAAGCTCTCCGCCCGTGCTATCCCCTGCGTCTTCCTTGGCTTTGTCCCTGACGCGCCTTGCTGGCGGTTTTACCACCCCACCTTGCGCCGTGTCTTCCCTTCTCAGGACGTCACGTTTGACGAGTCGGTTCCCTTTTACCGTCTCTTCCCCTACCGCTCTGCCCCTCCCCCGCCCCCGCCGCTCTTCCTTGCTCTAGGTCCCCCTCCGGAAAACCCCCTCCCGCCCCAGGGTCCTGCTCCCTCAGGTGTGTATCAGGTAGACCCTCTCTCTGGTCCTGCGCCTGTTCAGGTAGCTGTCGGCGCAGGTGCCTGCTCGAGGTGCTGCATCTGGGGGTGCTGCGTCTGGGGGTTCAGAGCCTGGGGGTGCGGAGTCTGAGGGTGCTGAGACTGGGGGTGCTGAGCCTGAGGGTGTTGAGCCTAGGGGTGCTGCGTCGGAGGGTGCGGAGTCTGGAGGTGCTGAGCCTCAGGGTGCTGCTTCGTTTGGAGGTTCTGCTGGTGCTTTGCCGAGACTGTCTTTGCAGCAGCTGCGTGAGTGGTTTGTTCGGCGCACACGCCTTCGGAGTGGAGCTACCGGAGCTGGAGGTGCTGGAGCTGCTGGAGCTGGAGGTGCTGGAGTTGCTGCTGAAGCTGGTGTTACTGGAGGTATTGCGGGCCACTGGTCTTGGAGGTCCTTGTACCAGGGGTACTGGAGCTGCCGGGACTAGTGCTGTTGAGGGTGCTGGAGCTGGAGACCCTACGGAGTCTGGAGCTTTTGGCGCTGGTGGCGCTGGAGCTGGAGGAGCTGGAGTTGGAGGCGCTGGCGCAGGAGGCGCTGGAGTTGGAGGCACTGGCGCGGGAGGTGCAGGAGCTGGAGGAGCAGGAGCTGTTGACCCTGGTGGCGCAGTGCGGCAGCGACCGCGACTTCGTTCCCTTGCTTCACCAGGTTCTTGGTACCCACCGCCTTCTACTAGCCTTACTCCTCCCCTCCCGTGTCCACCGCCTGACCAATCGCAGCTGCCGTTGCAGCCGGCCTCTTCCACTGCTTGCTCCTTCTCCTTACACTGAGAAGTTCCGGCAGTCTTACAGTGCGTCGTGAGCCTGCGTCTCGTCCTGTCTCGCCTGTTCGCACTGCTCGTGCGTCCCGTTCCTCGTTCGTGTCCTCCTCCTGTCCCTCGCACGCACGCTATGACCCTTCGTCCTTCCTCTATTCCACTGCGTGATCTTCTCCCTGCTCCTCCTGAGTCCTCTCTTCCGGAGGTTCCTGACCCTGAGTCTGACTGCGCTTGTGCTGCCAGTCCCTTTATCTCTCGTCTCCTCGCCACTGCTGTCACTCGACCCTTCTTTTGAGTCTGCTGCTGCGTTTGCTCTCGTTGCTGAGGCTGCTTGACTTTGCTGCTTGCCTGCCATCTAGTCTACGACACTGCTCTTGTTGCTGAGTCTGCGTCTGCCAGTCCTCTGTCCGTCGAGGGTGAGTGTGCTCTTGGCACGGACGTCCTTGAGGACAGGTAGGAGGACTTTGAGTGTCTTGCAGCTGCTGTACCTCGTTTCGCTTCCATGCTACTCGCGCCTTGAGGGAGACCCGGATGCTCCAGACATCCCGACCCCGCGCTCTTACGCAGATGCGATAACGGGTCCTTACTCCTCTCAGTGGAAGGTAGCCATGGATACAGAGATGGCATCTTGGAAGTCCACAGGCACCTACGTCGACGAGGTTTCCCCCACCTGGGGTGAACATAGTCGATGACATGTGGATTTTCAGGGTGAAGCGGCCGCCGGATACTCCGCGTGCCTTCAAGACGCATTATGTTGCTCGCGGCTTCAGTCAGCGACAGGGGGTTGACTACTTCCAGACCTTTTCCCCACCACGAAGATGACTACTCTTTGGGTGTTGCTCCACGTCGCTGCTCAGCGTGACTACGAGTTGCACTCTCTGGACTTCAGCACAGCTTTCCTGCAGGGCAGCCCGCACGAGGAGGATCTGGCTGCGCTGCCCACCTGGCTTCACTGGGTCGTTTCCTGCAGGTTCCCACAGGAGGCTCCGGCGGCCAGTCTACAGTCTCCGCCAGGCGCCTCGCAAGTGGCACGACACACATACACTACACTTGCGGCTCTTGGGTTTGCTCCTTCTACTGCAAACCCGTCGCTGCTTCTACGCACCGACACCTCGCTGCCGCCGTTCTACGTCCTCGTGTACGTCGATGACCTCGTTTTGCCACTGCTGACACTGAGGGTACTGACCCTTGTGAAGTCGGAGCTGCAGAAGAGACAGCACCTGCAGCTATCTTGGCCTGCAGATCACCCGGGACAGAGCACGATGCACCATCACCTTGACCCAGTCACACATGGTGCACCAGGTCCTTCAGCGTTTCGGCTTCCAGTTCTCCTCGCCACAGCCCACTCCTCCGTCTACTAGCCACTCGCTCTCAGCTCCACCTTCGGACGAGTCCGTAGAGCCGACTGGTCCGTACCCAGAGCTTGTGGGTTGCCTCATGTACGTGATGACGTGCACACGACCTGACCTCGCATACCCTCTCAGCCTTCTGGCTCGCTACGTGGCTCCCGGTAGGCAACGAAAGGTGCACTGGGATGCTGCGAAGAGGGTACTGCGCTACTTGTGCAGTACGTCAGGCATGGGGCTCCTTCTTGGAGGATGAGGTCCAGTTGTCCTCACTGATATCGCAGACGCCTCCTGGGTTGATGACTCAGCTACGCAGGCGGTCGTCACAGGGTTACACCTTCAGCCTTGGTTCCGGCTCTGTTTCTTGGCGATCTACTCGCTTGTCTTCGGTTCTCAGCTCCACTTGTGAGGCTGAGACCTACACCGGGGCTTTGGCTGCACAGGAGCTACGCTTGGCTTACCTACCCGCTGTTTGACTTGGGAGAGCAGCCTCGTTTGCCTCCAGTTGTGTACATAGACGACAAGGCCATGATTGCCTTGTGTCAGGAGCACAGACTGGAGCACAGAACGAAGCACATCGCTCTGCGATACTTTCTTGCTCGAGAGTTGCAGCAGCGTGGCCAGCTTCCTATTGCGTACGTGGCCACTAGGGCCAACACTGCTGATATATTCACCAAGGCACTTTCGATTGGTGATCATCGGCGCTTCTCTACTGTGTTAGGCCTTGTGCCTACTTTGCCTCAGTTGCTCACTGCGTGACTTTGCTTGTACTGTGATCTGTATATATACTCTTGCATGCTTACACTTGCTAGGGTATGATCACTTGTTTATTTTCTTTTACATAACTCTGCATGTGAATTGGCCTTGTGGCCCTTTGCTTGTGCTCGGACTGTGTGGTGACTTTGTGATCCACCCTGAGCTTGCTTTGCTTTTCTTGACTGGTCTTGTGACCACGTTGTTCTCCCCCACTTTGCCTATGGGGGTGTGTCAGAATGTTATAGTGCTTACATTTGTGTAGGCTATAGTGGGGTAGGGTAGCCCATAAGGGGTACAACTCAATTAGGGTTAATACTTGTACCCAACACTTTCATAGTTCATCCATTCTCGTTCATTACTTTCAACAGTGGTTATTTCTGTCTGATGCATAAGAATTTCCTTCAAAACATTTCTGCTGAATCAGGAAATTTTAAAATTCAATGTCTGATTGATTTTCTTAGAGCCCTCCTCATTTCACAGTGTTCTGTACCTTACGAAAGAATTGCAAAGATTATCGCGCGATTTTGGGACTCGATCTCGAATTGCTCACCATTGTGAAGCCAATCGCAACTAACTAGACTTCTATATACGGAGATAGAGATAGATATTCTTTGACTCAACCGGCGAAACACCCTTCTACATTGGAACTTGGTATGAGATGAATTCAAAAGACATTTCTTATTAATAAGAAATTTCAGAAATTCATTTGCTAGCGACGACCCTGCTCTTGTGCCGCCATGGCACCAGTGTAGATCTCTGCCTCTGCACTGGACGAAGCCACAGACAACGACCATGTGGACCTCCACGACACAGCCCCAACCCAGACTGAAGAAGTTGTTAGAATGTGAGAGAATGGAATGAAACAGAGAAGAGAGGGTTTTTCACCAGCAAGCAGTTGAGTACATATAGGAAACCCTAGATTGGGGGCTGTACTCACTATTGAGTACCCCACTGCAGGCTAGACAAATATAACATTCTTACACACCTCCATAGTCAAAGTGGGGTATGATCAGCACAACAAGCAAAGCAAAGCAAGCTCAGGGTGGATCACGACGTCACCACACAATCTGAGCACAAGTACAAGGAGCAAGCAGTTTATAGTTCACAAATATAAGCAAAGCTAGAGGCAGTCACAGACGGTAAGTGAGGAGGGGGAGGGACTGTGAGAGGAGAGGAGATAGGAGACGACGGGTGAAGCAGTAGATACACAGGCAACAGGAGCGGCGCGCACTCTGGCTACCGGAGATTGTAGCCTCCGGACTACTGGAGTAACTGGCTCTGCGGCTACTGGAGTAACTGCCCCTTCTGTCACCCCTTCTGGAGTAACTAACTCTGAGCGGCAGGAGGAACGGACCCACGGGCGACTGGCGCAGCAGGCTCGCTGGGCTACCGGAGATTGTAGCCTCCGGACTACTGGCGCTGCTGACGACACAACGGCTACCTCCCTTCAACCTCCCCCACTGTCGCACCCCCCTTTCACACACCCCCTGCTGCACCTCTAGCACTACTCACACTCCACCCCCTAGTACCACTCCGTCGGCTCCCACATACCCACCCCCCTCAGCGGCAGCTGCAGCAGTGGG